TAGAGGTGAAGAGTACGCGCTCGAGAGGGTCAGAGGTTAAGTGAAATTGAAGTTTGGGTCGTTGATGAAAACGGCTTGCGGGATACGAGGGGGAGACGGCCAACCGGCCTGGTTCTTGAGCAATAGTTTCGTTCCCTTTTAATCTCGGTTGGTAGAGCTTGGCAACAGCGGTGGCGACGGCGGGGCGTCCTGGGGGGGAACGGGAAAGGAGCAATCGCTCGCGAGCGAACGTCCTGGACGAGCGAGCGTGTGCGGTTAATCCTATCATGGTATCGCGCCGCGGTTATAGGACAGCGTGAAGTATACGAGAATCCGGCAAATAAATTGTCGCGACCGGCACGAAGAAAACGAGAAACGTTGGTCGTGAGTGCGAGGAGGTTTTCTATTGAGAGGAATGATTTATGATAGGTAGCACGCGCTTTTCCTCTCTCACAGCTTGCGGGAAATCTCGGTGATGCGAAGGGAGAATGAATAGAGAGAACAGAAGATTCTGAGATAGATGGATGAGAGAGAGAGAGAGAGAGAGAGAGAGAGAGAGAGAGAGAGAGAATCGCCAGCCTCGACTAGAAATTGTTGGTCAGTATATCTCGGACAGGATGAAAAATGATAAATATTGTGAGATGGAAGATTAAAGTGATGTGTGACAACTCGAGCAGGTCTCGAGATTCCTATATGATTGTCTTCGTGAGCACGACGTGCTTTCACCGTTGACGTGGATACGCGTGTGATTGTTACGGTGAGAGGATCTCTATTATTCTTTATCTTGCCAGAACAAAGTATTTATCTTACGAGAAAGTGCTGCACGAGAGGATGGATATTTTGCGATTAATTCCGGCAAGCTTATCTAGGATCATTACACACAACAGCGGAATCCCGTTTGTTGATTCTTGATAGAATTCTCTCCCCCTCGGTCGTTCGTCGGAATGCTTTGCCGCGGAGACGGTAAGAGGGAAGCTATTTTTCAGCGGCGTCGGTTCGGTGCCGTTGTATATCCGGCTGCCGGTTAATTCTGTGAAATATCGCAGCCTGCACCTTCCCTGATAATGGAGACCTCGACAGACTGCCCCATGTTACAAACGATTTTTCATTTCGGCCTCCTGCGCCGGTCGGCCACCCTGCACCCTCCACTCCGCCCTTTCACGGCCAGTCGTTTCGATTCGTCGATTATTTCCCGCATGTGACACGCGAGCTTTTTCGGCGAGTATATCCGGCTGGAAAATGACGGCAACGCATCGACACGCCGCGGAAACGTTTTAGGCCGAGCAAATTTTGCACGGTGAACGGCTCACCTCCCTTAACACCAGAACGGAAATTAACCCCTCTCTTCCCCCCCCCCCCATCTATCTGTCAGCCGATCTGTCAGCCGATCGTCTATGATAACTGCTTTTGTGCTTTTATAATATGTCCCCTTGGTGAGAGATGCGTCGTGTCCTCATATTATTTAATATTTGTTTAAAGATGAGTCTCGTCTCGCCAAAAGCATGAAATATCATTCAAGGTTATTCACTCCCCCAGTAGCAGTAAAAATGTCCATTCTTCTTAATTCGCGCTCTAGAGCTCCTGCTCTTAGAGGGAATAGAAGGAGGCGAGGGATGGAGGCGAGGGATACGCGGCGTATGATATATCGCTAATGTGTCTAACGTATCCCCCCTCATATCAGCCCCCTTGCTGGGCTGGGATGGGAAAGAGTGTAACGCGAGAAGTGGTATTTTCACGTCAACGTGTGAATGCGCGCGCGTCCAAAAAGAGTCTCTCCCACGTGTGAACGTTCGTCGAGATTCATCGGAAATTCTCGCGGCAGGAAATTGCGATCTCGCGTTTGTACCTGCAGATAGACGAGCGGTACAGGTATATGCAAATTACGCAAAGCGCGCCGGGTCGCTGCGCTGTGTGTGTCGCGAAATGTGCGCTGGCGCTTGATCCGAATTAACAAGAATCGAAACAAGAATCGTTTTCGATCTTAAACGAGCGAGCGAGTGTGAACGTACACCGCTTTCAGTCAGCTTAATCGCTGTCTCGCGATTGCAATCCGCGAGAGAAACACCGATTGTCTCGTGTATCGTATAATCAAATTTACTTAATTTATTCCAACGAGTGGAGACCTTGTGTCATTTCTCATTTCTTCTAAATATATATATTTGTTTTCATGATTTTTCTCTTCTCAGAATAATTTCCGATAAAAGTCAAGTATTATCGATGCATCAAGATACAACAATATAATGCTCTGATTATTTCGCGTTTCGTGTTACCTGCTCATTATTCCCGAACGTTAGCTCGATATCGCTGCAGAATCGGCGGTACAACGCCGAGGGATATGCAATTGCATCATGACGGATAGCGCGCCGTACGGTATTTGGCGATTGACGCTAATGACGCCATCATCCTTTCCATGTCTCTCGGAGAGAGTCTCTAGTAGCCGTCGGACAAATCGATAGCTTCGTGAATCTCCGTCCGGGCGTAAATTGATTTCACTAAGCGAGGTGAGTTCGCGTGCAACAAAGACCGTACTCCGCCGTATCGTACTCCTGAGATATCCCCTGCGAAACGTGGTGTATCCCATTAGATCTATCCCCTCGCCGCTCAGAGACTCGCGTGAGAAACGTCGTTCGTCTTCCTCACGATGATGTAACACACTCACGTGGAAGATGCGCGGAAGACCCACGATTGAGACTCTTCGCTCGGTCTTTACGAGCCGACCTGCCCTTCGACCTCTCCGTCGTTGGCATCGCCATCCTCGACCTCGGCGTGCTGGATAAAAGGGCAGCGCAGCCGGTTGCCCGCGCGCATCCCCGAAATTCGGGGCACGTAGGACTGCAAGGAGCATCTGCACGTGCATTTGCATGCACGTGGATCTGTTGTGTGATTCCTCATACGCGAGAAACGCGAGCGAGCGAAAAAAATTATCGCGCGGAGGACACGTGATATTTTCTTCGGGGTAAAAGGTTGGATTAAAATGCGCCAAGGAACGCCAGGGAACGCTGTGAAATTACATTTTGAATCTCGCGACAAACACCGCGCGATGTTGCGCGAATGTAATCGACGAATGACGGACGGCGAGAGAGTTCATCGCGCGAAACGTTCGTTTATCGTCCTGGAAATTTGTACTTGTCGCGCCTCGAAATTACTTCTTGCCAAGGCCGAACAAACCATTTCTATTTCTATTCTCCTCGTGGAAACTCTGTGCGTCGCGTGCGCTCGAACGCTGGTGGTAGTCAATATATCTATCCGTCAAGTATGAGACATGAGTGCAGATTGCCCCCGTGATTGCGCGAAGAGCAATTCGCTCATTCGCTCATTCGCTTCGTTTGTTTGCGTCAAGTTCCTCAGCCAAGTTCCGTGTGCACATTGGCACACGAGTAAGTCGGCGAGATGCGAAGGATGTATAAACTTCGCTCACCAGCCAGCTTTCAGTTGGATTATTGCGTATGCAGCTCACGTTTCCCCGAAGGCTTATACGAGAGAAAGCCTGGTGACACGCCCGGGACCGAGAAATACCTCGCCGATACGGCGATGGTCAATACAATCGAGGCTGTCTTTAGGCGAGGCCAAAAGTCACCGGAAAGTTGAGCCACGTGAACGGGGATCGATCCTCCGTGTCTCGTCGCTTGCGAAACGAGAGGTGACGAGAGATCTGTTGATAAGCGATTAAACCATAGTTTCATTAAATGGCCGTTTCGGATCGTGCACTCTCTTCTTTGTACACGATAATTCGCGCGGCAATCCTGTCTCTCCTCCTCCGCTCTCTCTCTCTCTCTCTCTCTCTCTCTCTCTCTCTCTTTCGCTGTAGAAACTCGCGCGACAGTTACCGATACTTACTTCCCGTTACGATCGCAACTACTCTCGTGTCCGGGAGGTAGTTCACGAGAGTAGAGAAGGGAAGCTGGTAGCGAAATAATCCCAGCGCACCGCAGTCATCCGCGATGACTTAGTATCTCCGGACTCTCCGCTCGCCTTTGGGAAACTCGCGCATAGTTCACTCGGCGTAGTCCCGCGAGGCCGATGCGACCTTCTCGGCAGGGTAAACTGCGCACTATCGGCCACAGATATCTGTGTGTTCTCATGCTATAACACGCCAGCCCGCAGATCCGCCGGTCGATTCTTCCGGTTTTGAAACAGCGCTGGACCGTTCTACTTCAGAAGCGGGATTGGCAGCCGTTTGCTCTCGGGAGGGGTGGGGGGGGGGGGAGTAGTTCGATATCCGAGTAATGGACATAATTCTCCCCGTAATCGCTACCGGTGCCACTCGCCGGGATATTGTTCCTCCGCGAATCGCCGATTGTAGATTAAGAAGGGAGGGGAGGAATATCGATTTCGCGATCTCGACGTTCCATTCCAGTCGACGATGTTGCGCCGTTCGATCGGTTTCGCGATACGAAATATTCAGTTGAGAAATATCCGCCGCCGCTATCGGTTGGCGACCAAACCGATAGGGATAGGGATAGGGAAAAGCGTCTTCCTTGTTTCAAGTGCACTAGTCTGCGACTCATTTAGCGATTCGCTTGGATGATCGAAATGAGAGCCTGCGACGCGATTTCACGATCATAACTCTTGTGTTCTCTCGAGAAATACTTGACAATTAACGCAACAATCTCGACAAGATTTCGTCGCTTTAATTCACACGGACTAATTGTCTCCTCGGTCGTTGTAATCGAGCGCGTACTCTAGAATCAAGCTCGCTACACATTCGATTATGCAAGATATCTCTGTCTGTCTCTATCTAGGACATTGTAATCGCACACTGAAAATACGCACTCTTGCATATGCACACACGCACACACACACACACACACACACACACACACACACACACACACACGCGCGCGCGCGCGCGCACACGCACACGCACACGCACGCGCGTATATATACGTACAGAAACAAGTTTAAAATAAAAAAAAAAGAAATAAAAGAAAAAACAAAAAAGACAGCTTGGTATCGAATCGGAAGTACAAAGTAAGCTCGACCGCCGCAGCGCCCAGAACCACTAATGTGCTCGCTCGCAGCGCGGACGGCAACTTCGAGGTGACCTTGGCCACGAAGGCCACGATCTACCATCAAGGATTGGTCGAGTGGAAGCCGCCGGCCATATATAAGTCATCCTGCGAGATCGACGTGGAGTACTTCCCATTCGACGAGCAGACCTGCGTCCTCAAGTTCGGTTCGTGGACCTATGACGGCTTCAAGGTAAATTCGCATGGTAGCCGTTAAGTCGTGGCCCCTCACCCACACCCCCGCCCATGCCCCTCGTGCCCCCTTGCCCCGGCCCGACCTTGTGAGCCCCTCTGACAAACCTCTGAAGCCCGACGAGGACGCCCGAGACGCGGATCCGATGCGGAATGTCAGACACTCCGTGCGGGATGCGTCCTCGGCGACGAGACGACGATCAGCTGTAGAACCTAAGCATAGACTAGATGACACAGACGATCGGCTCGCCGCGTGGGTCTCCGGGATATGATCGAGAGGGGTGAACACATCAAGTGCCGGGACACAACGTGTCGCAAGACGGATGCTGCCGGATAGCCCGAGACGACGCGGAAATACCTCGCGGACTTTCCTCGCTCGTCGCTCGTCGCTCGTCGCGGGCGGTCGCGAGTTGTCGTAGAAACGAGAAACAAACGAGAATCGAGTTGCGGTCGCGTGCTCTTCCAGAATGAGATTGTAATCGCGCGTAATCGCGCGACTTGCTTCCTCTTCGCAGAGCTCCGCAGAGAGCGCGTAATTCCATGATTTTCTAGATTAATGAGAAGTAAATTCGCTCGTCTCTCTTCGGCGTGTTTTTTTCGTGTAAATTTCTAAACAGCCGCGAGTCGCACTTCGAGTACAGATTTTTCGTTCCGAGATCCTCCAGCAGGTCCACTGACCGGGCCAAATGTTCCGTGAGGCTGCGAAAGTATCGTGCGACAGTCGTGTGAACGCGAGCGAGATTTTCACTCCGTCGTCCGACAGATGTGTAAAGTTGGATATCGAAGGACGCGGAGAAAGAGAGAGAGAGAGAGAGAGAGAGAGAGAGAGAGAAAAGGGAAATGGAGAAAGAGGAAGAGAGAGAAAGAAAGAGAGAGAGAGAGAGAGAAAGAGATGAAAATATAGAAAGAGAAAAAGAGAGAGAGAGAGAGAGAGAGAGAGAGAGAGAGAGAGAGAAAGAGAGAAAGGGAGAGAGAGAGAGAGAGAGAGAGAGAGAGAGAGAGAGGGAGGGAGGGAGGGAGGGAGAGAGAACAAAATAGACAAAATAGGTGAAAATAAAATATTAAAAGAGGGAGAAAGAGAAAGGGAGGAAGAGAGAGGTAGGAACGCGGGCGGCAGCATCCGGAGACCTTCTCTCCGAGCCAATCGTGATCACGCTCGGCTCGTTTCTTCGGTGATTCCAGCGCCGACGGGAACTACGAGGTGACGCTGATGACCAAGGCCACGGTCTACTATTCGGGATTGGTCGTGTGGCAACCGCCAGCCGTATATAAATCCTCCTGCTCCATCGACGTTGAGTTCTTTCCGTACGACGTACAGACCTGTGTTTTGAAGTTAGGCTCCTGGACCTATGACGGCTTTAAGGTGCCGCACTACCACAACGCAACCGAGAGCACGAACCGCAGTCTCCAAGCATTTAGTCTCTTGAGATGATTACTACTGATCGTATCGGTCTACTCTCTAACGTTATCCTTTAGCTCGTTTTTCCATTTTGTGTTTTTGTCAAAGAATGCCTTCCTTGACACCCGTAATCGTTCCTGCGATGCGCTCTAGTCTTGGACGTCTCACAAATGTGTGGTGATATATTTACGTATATTTATATTTATTCATTCGTCTCTACGTACGCGCGTATTATGTGTGCGGTGAGGCTGCGCCGGCAATTCAATTACGCTGCCCTCGCATACGGATCCCTTCGCCGATCTGCGCTCGCGATCCTCGCGTCGTAATCGTTCAAATCGTTCGCCGGACACACAACACGAGTTGGATACCAACTCCCCACGGCGATTTTCCCCGGGCTAAAGCCACGCTCGATTGCGAGATTGGCTCGAAATAAAAACTGCAAGTCGTCCGTCGCAAATCGTCGTCGAGAATGCGTCCGTGAATGCGAAGGAAGAGTTTGGCCAGCCTGAGCGCCCGCGCGCGACACCCTGTATACGTGTGTGCGTGTGTACACAAGCACACACACGTGTGCACGGTACGCATACGCGCGTACATTTGAATATTGTTACGTGGTGTGGACTGCAGTGTTACTTCATTAACCGCCATTTCGTCGTGGTACCGTGCGCGTTCGGCTCGTACTTTTCTTTTCTTTCTTTTTTTTTTTTTTCCATCATTCTACGATGCGAGGTCCGAGAAAACCCGGCAAGCTCGTGAGCTACCTAACGCATCCGTCAGTGTGGCTCGTGTTTGCTGTCCAAGCGAGGATCGACGAGCTCATCCGATGTCCAGGATGTCAGACTGTAATGGAGTGCGCGTACGGGCGATTCGAGAGATTTACCGTTACATGTCGAATGGAATCGAGTGTCGTAGTCAACGTTTGTTAAGCGCCGATATCTAGTTGCCCGAATTGCGGATTAGTCCCCCGATTGAAGAGAGAGAGAGAGAGAGAGAGAGAGAGAGAGAGAGAGAGAGAGAGAGAGAGAGAGAGAGAGAGAGAGAGGAGGAGAGAGAGAGAGAGAGAGAGAGAGTATGAAAGAGTGAGAGAGTGAGAGAACGAGAGAAGAGAGACACGGTAATTGTAGGGGGTTAGTTTTTTCAATGACCCGCGATATCTTACGTCATGCGAAACTTGATTTATTTACGACATGCAATTCACGCGAGCCAACACATACACACACACGAGTAGTATGTGAATCGATATCGCGATATTTTTTAAATCGTACGAAACACGGTTAAGCTATACGGTGCCGCAACGGAGAAAATAAAAACGAGGGAGGGAGAAAGAAGCCAGCGGTTCTCTCTCACTTTTTAAAACTGTTTCATTACCGACGTAACGACACGCTAAATCTCAAACGCGTTGCTCGTTAGTTGATTACATTGAAATTTTCCATATATCGGTTTCAAATGAAACTTTTCGCCGCGATCTCGCGTCTCTTCGCCTCGCACTACTGTGTGTTTCTCGCGATAATATTTCCGCGCTCGTAAAACTGCGAATCGAAACACGTCGGTGAAACGTCGCTGCACTTTCGTTATGTAATAGATAAAGGGACACAATGTTCGATCCTCGCTTCGACGAGCGAGCCGAAAGAGCAATACGTCGAAGATCCGAAGGATGCGTCAGCCACGATGAACGCGCTCTGCACAGGGCGGATACTCGCTTTCCGGTCAGTCACCTCGTCCTTTGGGTATTTAGCAGTCCGATTTGTTGAACGTCAAGTCCGATTACGGGACTGATCGATACTCCGTACTATGTATTCTCGTTGATTGTTTCCTTTTTAGCTTGTTCTTTGCAAAACAGAGAGAGAGAGAGAGAGAAAGAGAGAGAGAGAGAGAGAGAGAGAGAGAGAGAGAGAGAGAGAGAGAGAGAGAACAGAAAAAAAACAGGGCGTCATTACTCTCAACACATACGTGGGAAAGGTATAAAATTTCGCGACAGAACTCGAAACATCTCATGACACACGAAACGAGAGACATGTTACTAGTTACACGCACCCCCTTGCGCCACCAACAGGGTCACTCTGGTCCTTCTGTGTGTGTGTGTGTGTGTGTGTGTGTGACCATCTCACTAATTACTATTCCGCTTACACGGCCGCGACATTACTCGTCATTTCTCCAATACTGAATAATTTCTAATACGCAAGACCAGGTCGGGAGAAAAAGTCGCGCTCTCTTCCATCAGTTGTCGATGGCATATTTAATTGGCACACGGGCACATCTAAACGAGCTTCATTCTCGCACACGCATTCTTCGTCGATCGAAGCAGTCAAAGTGAGAAAAAAGTAGAGGAAAAAGACAGCAACAGAGAAACGGATGGTTATAATATTTACTGACACCGAAACAGACGGCTATTTCGCTGAAAGCCGCTATTTAGCCGGGCATTCTATTACGCGAGCATCCGAGCGAGGCGCTCTGTTATTCTATCAATCGTATCGTATCGATTCGAACTGCGAATTTGACCAGCGCTGATCCGGCGAGCGCGCGCAATTAAACGCACGTCGACAACGCAATTTACTCGTCTAGACCGAAGCCGACGGACACGCGGAAAAAGTAGGACGATCGTGACGCGATCGATACGGGGAAAAAGTCGCCACCGTCGCCTCCGCCGCCGCCGCCGGTCGCCTTTCGCGTCGGTGACGGTGCTGCGTTTTTCGAAATTTCTCCTTCTTCGCCGCGCGACTAAAAATACTCATCGCGTCGCGTCGCGTCGCCCAAAAGGAATACGTCTCGACGTGAAATATCATTCCCTTAAAAGAGCAATTTTCTGCTTTTTACGATGTAATATTAAAAGCCACTTAGCCGACTCGGTACTTTTTAACCGACTAAAGCAGACGAGACGACGTTTCCTTTATGGTGTTTTAAAAAGACTCGACATTCCGCAGGTAGCAGCTCTTCTTGTGTAATACGTAGATACTTTGGACTTTGACTTTGACTTTGGGTCGATGTCGCTTCGGAAATTCTTTGGAAAAGAGCCTCGTGTGTGTGCGGCCTATACCGTGGCCGCATATCGTTTCGGGTCCATCCTACCTGCATTACGCGACAAATTCCCCATTTCCAGTCAATCGCAAGGTCAATCGCTCAGACTCTCACGATGATTTCGTACGACGTATCCATCTCACAAGCCTACACCATTTACATTCACGAGCCGGTCTTGCGAGTCAAAGTCGTCGCCGCGTATCGATATCGATATCGCGGGCTCTTTCGAAGGATTTCGCGTCTCCAGCGCGTTACGTGTTCGCAAAATATCGCGTGTGTTATTTAGCGCGCCGTTTGTCTCCTTTCTTTCTTTCTTTCGCCGCGGTCGAACCGCGGTCGCCGCCGAACCCAGTAAGTTCACACGCAAGCCAGTACATCGTTAAAACTTTCCGTCACGGAGTTTCCGCGCCTTTTTTGTAGCACGTCGAGGCCGCTCGTTAGTCCTACCGAGGCGGATTACACGAGGCTCACGCGGCTCTATATCGGAAACGGGACAAACTGCTATACTGTCACACGCTAAAGCCGACCACGGATCTGCGCGGTGACTAACGAAACTTGAATCACGGGAGACCGAACTGTCGAGAGATCAC